TTTTTCTTTTTTTTTTTTTTTTTTTTTTTTGGTACTGGGGATCGAACTCAGGCCCTTATGCTTTCAAGATAGGCAGCAGAACCACTGAGCCAAATCTCCAGCTCTCTTTGTGTTTTTGCCACAGGGTCTCACACTGTAATTCTGGCTGGTTTTGATTTTTGTTTTGTTTTAGCTTTTTTTTTTTCTTTTTTGGTACTGGGGATCGAACTCTGGTCCTTGCACTTGCAGAACCGCTAAGCTAAATCCCCGGCCCCTGGCTGGTTTTGAATTCACAGCGATCTTTCTGCCTCAGTCACCAGAGTACTGGGTGCACACCTGGCTTTGCGTGTTTTGTTTTGTTTTGGTACCAGGGATGGAACTCAGGACCTGGCACATGCATGGTGCCGCTGAGATACATTCCCGGCCCTCTTGTTTTGTTTTTTTAGATGGGGTCTCATACTGCCCCAGCTGGCCTCGTGGACTTATACACCCTTCTGCAGCAGGCCCCTTGGTAGCTAGGACTACGGGGAAGAACCACTGCGCCTGGCAAGTTCTTTTCTGTTAGGAAACTGATGCTTAAGAGGTGGCCAAGGTCACATACCTAACCTGTTTGACTCCAGAGCCCAAGCTCTTCTCCATACTATACCACCAGAGAGAGGTCCCCAGGAGAGAGGACCATTCCTGGAAAATGTCAAACCTATGTCTTCTGGGAAATCCTTATTACAAAGCTAGTATAAAGTCTAAAAAATGTATTTCCCTTTTCTTTTATTTGAGATAGGATCTCACTACATAGTTCAGGCTGGCCTTGAACTCATGGTGATCCTCCTGCCTCAGCCTCCTAAGGGCTGGGATTACAGGCGAATGCTACCACTTGTGGCTAAACTCTAAAAAATGTAGGAAAAACAAACAAAAAACAAACTCATAAATCCACATCGAAACACTGCTAAAACTGAATTACTTATTTTCCAGGAGGTTTTTAAAGCTGGAGGAAAAGGTTTATTGATACACGTATTTATTTATTTACAATGACAAGGCAAGGCAATCCCTATGCTAAGTCTGAAAACCAACCCTTAAATGCCTGTTGCTTTGGGGTACAAAAGCCAGTTCTTTACTGGCCTCCAGCTTTCTGGATGGTTCTCTCACAAGGCCCTGCTCACACCCGGCCCACTCTACAACACTCCCTGGGTCCTATCCGCTCCTCCCTGGGCACATCCCAGACACACTGGCAGAGTATGGATGTGTGACTGTACCACGGGGTGGCGGCTTCTGCGTAGACAGAGAAAAACAGCCAAGTCTTACCAGGACCTAAGTCCTTCCTACACCAAGTAGCCATTCTAAGAAAACATCACATCTAAAACATCTAGAAAACATTAAAGGTAAGGACACAAAAATAGCCTCTAACATGACCAAAAGTCAAACCACGAGATTAACTTTTTGATAGCCTTTTTTTTTTTGAGACAAGGTCTCACTAGTAGCCCAGGCTGGTCTCGAACTCACAGTGAGACTCCTGCCTCAGCCTCCTGAGTGCTGGGATTACAGGCGTGCGCCATCTCCTCTGGTTTCTGATAGCTTTTTAATGTCTGGCTTTATTTAGTACATCCTCAGCGACTCCAATGAGGTGCTCAAGTGTTCAGAGGAATTCCAGCTCTCGTGGGGTCACCGTGTCCTTTGGACTCTGGACAGCTTGTTAAGTGCTGCTCCCCTCTTTACCTGTCTTTGACAAATCTACCTAATGGTTCTTCCTTCACCTGCCCAACAAGGTACTTCGCAGGCAGGTGTATGAAGACTCAAGACGAACGCTGGACAAAGCAGCAATACTGGCTAAACCCGAACGTCAGTCCACAAGCCAGACTGGAAACGTGTATTTTCATACACAGGTTCCCAGAGAAACCTAGAAGCCAAATGTGGTCCTTCCACTCAAGCTGGACCTCCCCAGTGTACACAGACATGCTGTCGGCTGGCCCGGTGCAGAACAACAGTGGGAAACGACACAGGAATCATCTGCTACGCCGGCGCCCCCATACTGGGGGCTGAGCTTGGGGCTTTACCCTGAGCCACATCCTCAATCCTTTTGAAACCTTTTTATTTTTTGGAGACTGGGTCTCTCTCACTAAGTTGCTGAGTCGCCCAGGCTAGACTCATATTTGCAGTCTTCCCTGCCTCAGCCTCCCAGAGTGCCTGGACAGGGTGAGACACCAGTGCTTAAAGAAGCAAGGTGCTCTCTCTGAATCCCATCAGCCCTGCAGATGCACTGTGAAGAACACGTTTCAGTCGGGAGACGTGGCCCTAAGTACACACGTGGAGAGCCCCTGGGGTGCTGCAGATTGTTCTCCCAGAACTGCTAAGGTCACATACTTCTGTGATCACAACACGTCCCGCCCTGGCGTCTGCCTGTCCAGAGAGCACATGGGGCAAAAATACCAAGAATGTTTGACAGTCTCATCTCCAAACATAAAATCAAGATGTCAGGATTACTGACTGTAGTGTCTTCAACCGGGGGCCAAGAGGGGGTGCTTTTTAGATCCCTGTCCCCAGGAGCTCCCCTGCGAAAGCCAGCGCACGTACCATCCGAGCTGGGGCAGAGTTCTGCCTCTGTGTGAAGAGCTCTTTACCCTCCTCACGGCCATGGGCGTGTAGGCAGCCACGGGACGCGGGTCTGACTGGCTTCTTAAACTCAAAGGCTTCCTGCAAGACAGCGCAGTTGAGGTAGCTATGGTTCACAAAAAGCAGCTCTGGGCTCTAACCCGGGAAGTCAGACAAGGGCCCTGAGCACCTTGGTCCCTGCCAGGCCCAGTGGCTCCTCATTTCTGATCTCACTGCAACACTGCTGAGCTCAAACTCCCACAGCTGGCAGCTCCAAGCACAGGGCGGAGCCCAGCTTTCCATCCCCGCACCATAGTGACAACTAAAATAAAAACCAAGCAGTGTCGTTTTCCTACCAGGCACACAGTATCTGCCAAGCATACAAGATACTACAAATGATAAAGCAAATCACAAACTTCCTAAAACCCAACACAAGGTCACCTTGGTACAACTATTTGTGAACAGTCAAAACTTTTAATCTAGATTTATAGCTGTTTGATCATGGCATATTTTCTACATCTTCCTATCAAAAGCAGACAACAAGTTTTTCCAATCAAAATTGTTACTGTGACAAGTATGTTAGTGCAGCCTGTAACCCCAGCACTGTGGGAGGCTGAGACAGGAGGATGCAAAGTTTGAGCCTGGACTACGCAACAGCTAGCAACTTGTTAAGACCATCCAAAAATAAACAGTAAAAAGAACTGTGGCTGTAGCTCAGTGTGAAGACTCTGGGTTCAATCCCCAGTGCTTTAGCAACAAAAAAACCCCACAGATTTACGCTACTCAGTACGGAGGATTCTCGCACAATGTTGAGTGAAAGCCATGTGACAAAATACACAGGATGCGACTGATTCCATTTCCAGATCAAAAACACCCATGTGCCCCTACTGTCCTAAAACAACCACTTAAGAACTTCAGAAATGAAGCAACAGCTGATACAAATTATCTGTATCGCCAACACTCCACCAAGTACTTCTTTGTGTATGAATTCACTTAACCACTGAAGACAGCCTGAATGACCACAATACAGAATAGGCCTTCTGGGCTGAACGGCGAGCCAAGGAGACAGGACTAGGAGGACTCTCCTCCATACCTGTGCTGTTTTCTGTCCAGAGCACAGCCCAGGCAGGCAGGGCTGGGGGAAGCCCCTCTCTTGGGAGCACAGCCTTGCCTTGGTTCTAGAGCCACAGAGGACACATGCTCTGGCCAGAAATCATTTCCATCCTCTCCTCCACCATGGCCCAAGGCGCCACACAAAACAGTCAGGAGAGTCCACCGAGGCCGAGGGCTTAAGGCTCAACCCAGAAGATTGCAAGAATAGTGAACTGCAGCATTTTAACAGGGAAGGGAAAAGGGAAAAAATCAACACATGTGCTGGGCACAGTTGCACACAACAGCACTCTGGGAGGCTGAAGCAGGAGGGTTTGCAAGTTCAAGCCCAGCCTGGCCTTGTCTCAAAAATTTAAAAGAGGGCAGAGCATGGATGTAGCTCAGTGCAAATATCCTGAATTCAATCCCCAGTAATGAAACACACCCTCCCCTCCAAGGAAAGAAATCCTCCAAAAAAATCCATGCAAGATGGGAAAAATTCAATTCGCTCCTTGGTCCCCGTCCCCGTCTCCCCCCCTCATTGCCTATCTGCAGTGAAGGCCTCAAGGGTGGATCGGGCCTGGTGGTGCATGCCTATCATTCCAGCACTGTGGGAGGCTCAGGCAAGGTTCTGGAGAAAGAGCTCAGCCTGGGTAATTTGCCAACTTAATTTAACGACCCTGTCTCATAAGGAAAGATAAAGGGCTGGAGGTGTACCTCAGTGTGAAAGCCCTACGTTCAATCCCCATACTGCAAAAATTAAAAATAAGCCAGGCATGGTGACACATGCCTATAATCCCAGAACTCCGGGAGGCTGAGACAGGAGGATGCATGAAGGTCCTGGAGTCAATCCCTAGCACCAAAAACTAAAAGTAAGAAAGGAAGCAGGTGGGTCCACCTTATGCAAACAGATCTCCACAGGCATCCTCCGCCCTGGGTTGGCACAGACGCCACTCACATTTTCCTTGTTTTCATCCTGGTCAATGGGCTGAAAGAGGCCATGGTCGAGAACATCGGAGTGGCTTCTCTTCAGAGCTGGGCTACATCCCAAGAGCTTCTGCTGAAGAGAAAGGAGAGAGCACATAAGGGAAAATGAAATGGAAAACTCAGTTCCGAAGGACGGGGCGGGCAGCTGCTCCCCACAGGGAGCAAGAGCTATAACAGGCCAGGAAGGGTACCCCACCTCCTAAGGCCCAAGCCCTCTCAGCAGCTAATTAATTACAGCGCTGCATCCACCCCCAAGTGACATTTTACAGAAACTCTTCCTGGTTGGTAACACTGACGGACAGAGGACAAAGTCCTGAAGAGGAAGTCATTATTCAGTTGCTCCGGGCAGTGTCCCAAGTGCTTGGAAGAGTGGCTGCCAAAGAGCAGTTTTCCTTTCCTAAGTTGAGTTTCCTACCAAGGTCAGGTAGGCAGCTGGGTGGCAAGACAGGTAAGAATTCAAAATAACCAAGAACTAACTTACAGGTAGGGAATGTATTCTCCTCAAGGGATTCCCAAGGCTGGAATAAGACCAGAAGGTAAATAATTAGAATAAAGCATCCCAAGAGGCATTCATGTTAGCAGATGCACAACTTAGTCTGAAGGCGGGGGCGACGACAGAGTCCTGTTTTAAGCAAGGGATGGAAGAAATGATTTCCTGAAGCTGTCCTGTTCTCAGCAGTGTCCCAACACTAGGTTCTAGGTGAAAAAGCAAACCTGGAGCTGGGCCTGTTGGCAAACACGTGTAATCCCAGCCCTGAGGCTGAGCAGGAGCTGGAGCCTCAGCCCAGCCTGGGTAACAGCAACTTAGAGACCCTGTGTTAAAACTAGGGGAATACAAGGGTTGGGCACTGTGGCACATGCCCTCAATCCCTGCTTGGATCACTGCTAGTTCAAGGGTGGCCTGAACTACACAGTAAGATTTTATCTTAGAAACAAAACAATAAAATTGTTAAGGGCTGAGTATGTAGTTCAGTGTGAAGTTTCTGAGTCCAATCCCTAGTACCAAGGAAAACAAAACACTTAGTGACCTAGTATAATAATAATCATCATCTCTTGAGCCCAATCTAGGTAACTTAGCAATTTAACGAGATGTTGCCTCAAAGAATAAAACAAAAAAAACCAACCAGCAAACAAAAACAGCAAGCAAACTTGGAGTCTTCTCTTTCCCCGCCCCCTTTGGTACCATGTGCTCTTGTGGCAGGTGCACTGCCACTGAGCTACATCCCTGGCTGGGGCCTTTTCTTAAAATACACATTCTCAGCCAGGCATGGTGAAGCACGCCTATAACCCCAACACTCTGGAGGCTGAGGCAGGAAGGTCATTGGGAGTTCAAGGGCAGCCTGGACTGCACAGTGAGGCCCTATGTCAAAAAATCAAAGACACGTTCTCTTAAGGTTTTAACATCAGAAAGTAGAGCAAGGGTTTCTGTCAGACCCAAAATCACCTAAATCGAAGCTAAAAAATTAAAGCTAGAAGAAAGGATCTATCTCAAAACTGCTTATACAAACTAACCATTGTCAAGATGCTATTTCTAGGATCCAGGACTCTCACTAGGAACAGCTAACTCTAGGGCTCCAGTCCAGAGCATCAAGAATTTCACTTAAAAATTAAGGAAGGTTTTCCAAGTACAAATATTTCAAAGCAGTGAACACGTGAATACATACTTTTCTTTACTGTCCAAGGGCCCAGGAGAATCCAGACAGAAACCTGTGTGGGAAAAGAAAACTTTTGCTCAGGAAACAATGCACACAGTACCATTTCTTTGTTAAAATAAATCCACAGCACCTTTATAGTATTAATTTTTTCTCCTACTTGGAAACACTATTGAGACAAACAGGTTTGGGGAGAGGCTGCACTAAACTGTTTTACAGCATAATTGTTTGGATAGCCAGGTAACACACACAACTGTTTGTGAGTTCCAATCATGGAAGGAAAAGATACCACCATTTTTCTTGGAATGATTTTGATTTTAAGTATTTTTATCTTATCAAATCATATGCCTAATTTGGGGGTATGAAAAATACAAATTAACTTGGGTGTGGTAGCACATGGCTGTAATTCCAGCACTTAGGGAGGCTGAGGGCTGGGATGTAGCTCAGTATTAAGGCCCAGAGTTCAATCCTCTGAGTACCATTAAAAAGGGGGGGGTGGCGGATTTAGCTTAGCAGTTCGGTGTCCTGCCTTGCAAGCACAAGGACCCGAGTTCAATCCCCGGTACCAAAAAAAACCCACACAAAAAGAAACAAAAAAGCAAACAGTATATTAGCACATGCCTGTAATCCGAGCTACACAGGAAGCTGAGGCAGGAGGACCTACAGTTTGAGACAAAGCCCTCTCTCAAAATAAAACACAGAAAGGGTTGGGATACAGCTGAATGACAGCGCCCGAGTTCAGTCCATTCCTAGGGCCCCCCTAAAATAACCTTATACATACTAACTACATTTTAGGACTTTTGCTCTCGCAGTTCCCTAACCTTTGTCCCAAACACTGTATTGGGTGAGCCTGCAGTAACACAGACTTATAAACACAGTGTCATGCACGGCACATTTCCTCCACACCAGGATCACGGAAGTGCCTTTATCACACTTAACGATCTGATCCCGATTTTAACCCATAAGGTTTTCTGAATGCCATGTATAGTTCCCAGATGAAAGGACATCTCAGGAAAAATTCCCAGCCTTGCTCCCCACACAGAAGACACGTGATGGGTGAAGACTAAAAGGCCACCTGAAGCCAGGTGTGGAGGCCCAAGCCAGTAATTCAAGCACTCAGAAAGCTGAGACAAGAGGATCACAGGCAGCCTGGGCTGATCCTAGCAAGACCCTGTCTCAAAAAAACCCACAAATACCTGAGTCAGTTGATTCGGAGGAGCCCATTCTCTGCAGACTGCTGCTGTTTTTCACCTCTGGCTGCTCACACTCGCTGAAACCAAAGGGAACGTTTCCACATGAGCCATCGCCAGGACACAAGTAAAAGGTCACATGCAGGAGGTGGGCCATGGAAGAGCCAGGCTGTCACGGCCACACTAACTTCCAGGTCAGGCCGCAGACCCCATTTTTGACACCCAGAACACGCAGTGAGCCCTCAAGCCAAGAAAGGAGCGCGTGGGTCTGGCCCGGGAGGACACATGGACGGCGACCGCGACTGTTCCCTGCTCTTCAAGGAGGGGTGGAAGGTGGTGACGAGAGGGCCAGGGGCTGGGAAAGGGATCGCATCTAGGTGTTAGATAGAAAAAGAGAGGCTCAAAGTGGCAGGAAAGCAGCTACCCCAGAAACGCGGGGGCGCACTTTCTGCCTGGAAGCAGTCCAGGGAGATTTCCGGCAGAGAACATTGAAGCAAAGCAGCCCTGAGCTTCGGGCCGCTGGGGTGGACCTCGGAAACGTGCGGCCCCCGAGACCTCAGGGAGAAAACGCCAGGTCCCTTTCTTGGGAAGGAACAAAGCTCCGGGAAACCACGGCCCTGCGCGTGGCTCGGCGGGTA